TATATATATCTTTGTTTTAATTAAATTCATAACTACTGTGGTGAGATAAAATCTAGCCGGAGATATTTCATTATTGGAGATTAAATATCGGAGACTCTACGTGTTTTAAAATTAGTACGCATTTAAGCTAATTTGCAGAAATCGATTTATTGATTGACATTATAATCTCTTATATAAACGACATTATAATTTGTGTATCATTAATTGGGATTAGGTGTAATGATTTTACATGTTGCCTTAGTAAGCTTTACTAATAGATACCGGAGTTCACAAAGATCCAAGATAAGTAGCTGCTGATACGGGTGTAGAGTCCCGGATGTGTCCTGGTTTCGCATCCTAATCCGTAGGATAGAATGCCAATCAGCGTTTGCTCCGATACTAGAGGCGCGCCTAGATCACCCTGTAAACAATAATATCACGATGGTTTTGATCTAGAAGCTTCAATCATTTTAACTGCTAGATATCAATGTATTCAACGACAGATTAATGCACAAGCTCAGGACAAATCAAATATTGATTTTCTTTATATTTCTATGTGAATGTAAGTTTTATTTATTTTTAAAAATAATACATTTTTAAACATCTCTCAGAGAATCTCTTCGTTTTGTAATTTTTAGTGGCAACATATAACTGAAATAGAAAACTTCAGGTATTATCTATTAAATTTTACAAAATTGATATAAAATCCTAGTTTATCACTGCATAAATCGATTGTAAATATAGTACATAGTACAATTCGCGTTACGGAGATACAATGTATCTACATAAAAGTTCATCCTTGTTCTATAGTTTTCGAACATAGACATGTTGCAAAATAACGAAAATTTTTCTAGCCCGTGTGCGAGTCTCTTCGCATTTTGTTCGCGATACATCGGCGGCGCGTGGAAATTGCGTTCTCGAGTCAAGTGTCGCATTGTTCACCGATCTGGTGCATTCGACACCTGAACCAGCCGTGCGCATACTTGCGGAAAGACTATTGACTCTATCGACGTAATTGTACACTCGCGGCCGTGTACAATTGGAATTCGACCACCATTGACTGCTCTTAATTTACGCGCCACGCATTTTCCACCGACCGTTGCTTCCCGTGAGATCATTATGAACGTGAGCTTGGATACGCGCGCGTATCGGAAACGTAGATGAGAGTTACCATTAACACAAATCGCATATATAAATCATAGTTTTTCGTTATTTATTCTCCGCGTGGTATCTTCTGTTGTAAAAGAAAATTTTCCAGTAATTCTGGCATCTCGCGTAATACTTTACCGGATCCCTTTGCGTCCTGAGAACGTGTACCCGGCTCGACGGCACGTAAATGATGCATGCACGCGTGCCAAGTATCGTGATGCGCGCCGACGAGGTCGAGGTGTCTCTTCTCAGTGTCGGCGATACTTTGTCGAGTGTCACCCAGGATTGTCGACGGTTTCGCGCGCGCGACGACGAGCCCTTCACGGATCATTGCGCCGTGAGTTGCGTCGCGTCATCCTCATCTTATGTTCATCTTACCTGACACGTTTCCGACGGGCGGGTCGCGTTAACGGCGCACAGCATCTCCTTGGACAGCGGCTTGTAGCTCGGCATTCTCTCTTTGCACGTACGTTGATTTATGACGGCCACAGCGGCCGCTGTGAGCTGAGGCCTGGCCGGGTTAAGCTCCTGTAAATTTGGCACAGCTCGCACGTTTTTACGACACGTTTCTCGTTATTGCAACTTCCAGGTCCAGGACAAGTCGGGGCTTATGAACGCGTGCGAACGTTTTGCGATGGTGTTTCGTAACGATTTACTTTGGTACCGACGTGACTTTGAATAACGTCGTGCGCGCCAGTGTCAGTTAAAATTGTGTAAAAAGTTTGCAAATCCGCGTTCGCTGTAAAAATCTCATTCTTTTAGCATCGAGACTTTTAAAACAAAAAGTTTAAAGTTTCGCCGCGAAGGAACAATCTATGAGTTACGCATTTTTCAAGGTTTTGTAACACCTGGATACTCAAATGACAAAACGGCGGTTTTCCCGCGCACAGATGCTTGGGAAAATTTGAAAATAAACTAAAGTTGCGCGTGTTACTCGATATTTACCGGTTTCCAGCCAGTTACAACACAGCGTGTTCCATCCTGGACTTGTTCATTTTCCTTCTCTGGGAGTCCGATAGGAAGTAACTTTTCTCCAAACTCTGCGGGACTCTTTAGCTACAGGATTGATAAATGGGACAAGTTTATTACGATAAAACAATGTCATATGCACAATAAAATAAACCAATGAAACATATATGCTGAAACTCTGCGGGACTCTTTAGCTACAGGATTGATAAATGGGACAAGTTTATTACGATAAAACAATGTCATATGCACAATGAAATAAAGAATAAACCAATGAAACATATATGCTAGATGTTTGCTCAGCGATTGAAAATACATACCTTTATCAATGCTATATCGTTGAAGTATACATACTTATCGAATTTTTCATGAATTACAATATTGCTTATTCCTAAGACATTGCCACATAGTGTGCAAATATAAGAGGAACGAACGCGTACGGATACTGCCGACAATTCCGCTCTGTAAGATGCGAAAACATATCAAAATATATTATTTTCCTAGAATCTCATAACTTGGGATGAATTACAAAAGTACATAATAAAAAACAAAAGAAATAATTATTATTGAGAAAAGATCGATGCGTACAAATTTATAAAAAAAAAATTTGTAAGAGACACCTGGTATATTATTATGTATTTTTCGCAATAGAGCACGTACCTGAAAACGCAGGATGCCGCAGTCATAATCCACGATTCGTGTATGAATGCGCCGCTGCAGACGTGTCGTCCGGCTATTTGGATCGATACCTATATTGAAATAACGAATTCTATCTGAAATCCGATTTATTCGAAAATAATAGCGGCTTACAGTCACTGCGCTGTACTGACTACCGATTAAAACCACATGTGAATGGCGTATAGTTTTATTTGTCAGCGGAACGCATACTGCGAGCCATTGCGTTAAAAAAAAAATGAGTTTCTCTCACGTGGTATGGGTAATCCTCGATGTCCACATATTGATGGCTTTCGGTATTAACGGCTATAATTACAATTTATATGAAAACAATTTGGTTTGAAAAGTGCAAATATATATAAAAATGTTTCACTCACTATACATCAGAAAGATGCAGACGAATAAGATAAAATTCTTGGACATCTTTCTGCACTGATTAATCATGACTAACGGCTCTTGTATAAAAAGATTTTGTCACCAACGTAAAACTTGCTTTCTGTTGAAGATAAAAGTATCGCGTTATCTACGTCTAAAATCATTACAATGCGTTATCATGAAAATGTGAAAAAACATCGCGCGATTAATTTAGGATTACACATGAAAAGCATAAATCCATTACGAGATAATGTTTATGGGTCAATCTATCTGGCATATACAACTCTATAATATATAAATGATATCCTATCAATTGGTTGATAATGATACAAGTATGTTAAGATCATGATAATTAATTGAATGCCTGCGGTACAAAGAGAGAATAACCATAAGACATGTTTTATATTTTTGAACTAACGCTATATTTTTTTTTTTTTATCTTTATGGTCTTAAATTAAAGCATTGAAGCTTATTGTTGGATTACATATGTAATTTATAATATCGGTCATGTCGTTTGTGAATATTTATTTGTCATTATAACATTTCTTTTAATTTATTTATTTCCCAATTAATGTCATTGTAATTATATAATATTATTTACACCTTTTTTCGTAATCAAAGTTATTTAATACGACAGCTCATTGAATTCGTTTAACAACCTTGTTTGCATTCGTTTTCAGATATTGCAAAATGTATATATTTACATATACACTGTCTGTAGAATATAAAAAAGTTTTTGCTCTAATGATTAAAATCTTGCAAATATCTCTTACGCATTTATTATATAAATTTAATATTTTACGCTTGCAAACTAAGATTGTTAATAACATGCAATCTCAAGACGTGTGCAATTGTCAAAGATTAAATACCGCTCTTCCATTTTATCCACCAGCGAAGATCTGCGACATTGGTGTAAACACCGGGATAAAACGGCTTGGAGCATTCGTATCCCCAGGATACGATTCCGTAGAGAATACCATTGACAGTGAGCGGCCCGCCCGAATCACCTTCACACGAATCTTTGCCACCCTGTATGTAACCCGCGCAAATCATTCTGTCGGTGATGCTACGGTATTTTTTGTATCTGTTTTGACATGTTGTTCTGTCTACGATCGGAAGCGATATTTTTCTTAAAACGGGTGACATTTTTCCACCTGGCTAAAATAGAAAATTGCAATTTTTACTATTCCAACTAATTGTATTTAATATACCTATGATCGTAATAGTAAATCATATTAGGATTATAAACGTGGTCGTATATTATTACATATATGTATATAACATACAATAATCATTTTTCCCTGCAAATCAGACATCAGTGAAGGACCCAATGCGAAAAAATCGTTTTTACTAAACCGCAGAGCAAAACAAAAACATAAAAATCCGACTAAATATAATTTAATAATACTCGCATGCGTAATATGATATTTTTCATACACTCGTAACACGATTTAGTATCATCGTGAATATCGACTTCATTCGCGTATTTCAACATCGAATGCATCAATCGAATGTAGCGGTTCCGATTTCTGACACGAGATACACATGAGATAACATGAGATTCCCAATCGCTTTCATCGTTGAAATCTTTGAATCGCCCTCGATCGGGAAAGTTTACTGTCACTTAGCACCATCTGTTTTCCGCAACGTTCAGATAATGAGTCTATTCTCTGTGAACTCACCTTCACCATACCCCATCCGGTAACGTTCACCATAACACCATCCGCGAGTTCCTTTTCCGCCAGCTTCACTGGCTGCAACCTATCGTTAAATCTGATTTCGCCGTCGACCTGAAATGAAATTTCCAGAGCGTGCGAAAGCTACCGATGTTGTTATTGTCAGCTGGTGCAGGTGCCGTTAGTAAGTAAAGAGAGGAAGAGAGACACATATATACACACATAGAGAAAGAGATGAAGAGGAGAGAGAGTTTAGTATTACGTACTTCGAGAAGGGCAATATCGTAATCGATTGTCAAGTCATTGTAAGCTGGATGTCGAATAATCCTTTTAACTTTATAATAGACGCCCTCGTATTTGTTGTTACTTCCTGCGTTGAGGCTGTAATTGTTAGACGATGATCTGTAACGAAACGAAACACGCGTCAATATACTATATAAATACTGTGACAATAACTGCATGCTATGTGCGAACCACGCTATGACAATATCGACAAAACGTTTACTGGTAAATGCGCGACCGCATTCGTAACAGCGAAGCGGATGATCACGCAAACGTAGCTACAATTTTCTAACTTGCATTGTGACATTATGCATCGGAATAAACTTGATGTGATATTTGATTTGCTTGCAAATAATCAAAAATTATATTCACTTTACGATTGAAAACGAAATTAATTAAAAAAGTTAGCTTAAAAATATCTTTTCTGTATTTGATTAGTCGGATCTTTCAATCTACTAGAGATCTTCTATTTTACATTCTTTTAAAGATAATCGATTATAAACAATCCATACTAATACTGGCAGATGCGCTTAGATGATTTTTAATTTTGATTATTATGAAAAACTATGACAAACGGTTCATAGTTTACAATTTTATTTTTTTGTATCTCTCCAAATCCATGAAACGTAGGGGTTTCGGTAAAACTAAATATAATCTTGATAATGAATACAGCGGCATTATATTTGGCACTTGATAAGAAATATTAAATTACAATTAAGAGACTTTCCAAACATAAGAAGAAAGATCGTTATCTCAAATGTGCATTTTATAAAGATTTAAATTTGCGCGATATATATTTATGAGAAGAGAGAAAGAAATATATACCTTACACAATGAGCCGCAGAAACAACCCATTTATTACTGATGATGGTAGCCCCGCAAATATGCAATGAATTTTGAAAGATCTCTTTCTGGAGGCTCAATTGATAAGGATGCTGGCTTATGTCAACTATCGTACCTTTTATGATCCGAGGGTCAAGAAAGAAAGCCGGTCGCAGGAAGGATGCTGTAATATTAAATTTAATGATAGAATTTGTCTTCTGGCCGTTTCAGCAAAAAAGTTAGCCCCAGAATGCGGCGAATATATAAATCACGCAAGGATTCAATCGACTTTATTACGTGTAGCGGTTTATAGTCTTTTGAACTTTTCTTTCTAAAATGGAATGTCTTCAGGATAATAGAAAATAAGCAAATTCTGCTGTATTGATTTAATTTGATTTTATATTATTAATTGTAAAGCTTATTATTAAGTAAAAAAAATATGTTTTTACCATATATAAAGATCCATTTACAAATATGAAAATATTAACTTTAATAGATAAACTTGGGCAAACCGACATTGGAAAGTATGTATTATAAATATATTACACGTAACAGATATATATGAAAATTATTGGTCACTTTCACTCACCGAAACCAGCAAAGAAAAGAAGATAGAAAGTGAAACTTCGTAACATCTTACAAGTATACACAGACTAATATCATATATGTACATGCACTGGCTTTTATATTGAAGTTGGGTTTCTCATTTGACGAAAGCTCTTATCTCGTGACGACGCAACTCGATTTGTTCGAGTATCGTATAGTATAACACAATTATAAAGTAAAGTAAAATTATAACGCAGTTATAAAAGGATGTCATATAGGAAATAACAGATAACAAAATATTCTCGTCATAAAATCGTAATAATATTGTACGATAAGAAAAAGATATTCATATTTACGACTATTTTAATATAATAATAATTCAAACGGGAGAACATTTTTCTAAAATTATATATTTCTTTAGAAAAATGTTTTCTAAAATGTTTATTTTATTTTACGGGTAGACGATTTTATAATAGGTTTTTTTACATAATTATACCATGACATACTACAGAAATGAAACAATACAGAAAAAAACTTGATAATCTTTTATTATTTTCGAATACCATATCTTTTTTAAACGTCATTTAATCATATTGGTCGTATCCATATCGATATCCAATTATAGACTACTTTATTCATCGGTTTCTTTTCCGATTAATTATTTTATAATGCGCGATTTTTCAGAAATTCGAGTGGTGTAATGCGACAGACAGTATTCATATACGCATGTAAGTGATTGGCTGTATAATTGTTTGCACAAGTGTGTTCGTTCGATCGAGCTCTGATAAAGTCTTTATCTTATAAAAATTCGTGTGATACATCAGAAAATTTCATAACTTGTAGAAATGAAATATAAACCATAAAAGTAACGGATAAAAATCATTGCAATCATTTCGATAAGATATCTGCTTTTTTTTACGCTTTTTATTAATCCCTAAATGATACACTTTATTGTATATTTTAACTAATATTTACATATTTTTTATAAAGATATATATATTTCTTACACCTATTTCTATCGTTTATTTGAGTATTTCTTCGAGTATTAATTAAAAATTAAAAATATAAAAGCTCTATTAAAAAAAAAAAATCATTTTAATTTGATAATTTTCATAACTGAAATTCTGTACATATTATTGGTTTACAACTAATTAATAGCTGGAAATTCGCAATTTCAATTAAAGCTTGCTTGCCTATATATCTTTTATATCTATTTCAACAGGCATTTGGAATTTAAACGCATGGACTATGGCGGTTTTCAATACATCGATTAATGAAATTCTAATAATTCCACAGATTCATTGAGTTGGAAATATATGATTTTCGTATTCATCTATCTTTTGCTCGGTAGATTGTTATCCATCAGCTATTAATTCGTCGTCTTTTGTATGTACTATGTAGTTTATCTATCGAAACAATATAAATTCTGATTTTAGTATAATTATATTATTTATAAATTTATTATATATTAGCTTTATATACACAGAATAATAAAAGTGTTATCTCTAAAATATAATCTATTGAAGTTTATATTTCAATCGGGCACGAACTTATGCAATCACCTGATATTTGTATTCTTGATAGTTTCTTTAAAAACCGACTAGTAATTAAAATTCAGATTTTCCGTCATATCTACCAATATTACCTCGAAATATAGCAGATGTCTGCTTATACAGGATATTTCGAGAATTGTTACGAGGGGTAAAAGAGTGCCGTACCAGGCTGCACACTTGCCGACATCGGCAACGACTGCTGTCTGGCGATTAACATATAAATCAAAGTTCCAACGCGGCAGGCCATCTTCTCTTCTTTTTCGTTCGCGCTCGAATTCACCCCCGGATTCCCCTGTTATTCGCGCCGGATGCGTGTGTGCCATCAGCTATCTTGTGTGCTATTCTCTCTCTTTCTCTTTTACTCACTTTCTCGAAAACGCACTGAGAAGATATTCGGATGTTGAATAGTTGACAATTATCAAAAGTAAATCTTTCACTTACAATGACAGTGAGCAATAAATATAGCGTGCGCTATACGGTTTTGCGAAAGCATCTCTTCCAAATCAATAAATCATCTCATAAATTAGCCTAATATAAATTTGCAACGTGTAAATGAGAAAGAAACTTTTGGATGTAGAGAATAAAAAAAAAAGGCACTTAGCGTATAAATTACATTATCAGTAGTTTTTGTTAAATGGATTTATGAATTTATTGGTTATCGATCGATAAAAGAGTACTCGTTTTGGTCTGTAATTAAACCGAAGTTTGGTTTAGTTAATACGAGATTGGAATACGCAACTGAATTGCCCAGTAGGGCAGCTTTTTTAATTCGTAATTTTTAAATTCTTATAAATTGCGAAGAGATGCAACACATGATTAAATATGTTTTCAAGGACTGCGAGCTGATTCTAATCAAAAGAGAAGACTATCGGTGTAATTTGAACGGAAGGAAACTAACGTCCTTGTCTCGCTGGTATATCTCGCTCCGAAGCCATGATAGATAACTGAGGTGGAACGAGTTCTGGGTGTCGTAAGTCTGCCACGGTAGGACTAACGAGTCCTATCCTGAGAGAATTCTCGGACACACGCTGTGGACGTCCGTACCGTAACGGGTACTTTCTCCTTCGACTACCCGCGTATTCTTTCTCCGCTTCTTTGCCCATGAGCGTCGCGCGCACGTTCAAGGCGATTACAGCACACTGGGGACAACGACGTTACAACGACGTATGCAATTTTCACACTTTCGCTGGCCGCAATTTATCAGCGGTGAAAGTCGACCGTAAATGTACGCGAGAAGATCGAGAAACGAGAATGTATTCCATCGAGGACATATATCTTGCTGTCTCTTCACATCGAAATATCGTAGAAGCACAAGAACTGGTCGAAGATTTTTTTTTTTGTGAAATGCAACTGTTGCGTTTCGGAGATTGTAAGTGCAGTTTGATAGAAATAACATTTTAAAATATCTAAACGATCTCTGATGATGCGCGATCAACGAAATGAGATATAAACATTTAAAAACAGGTTTTCAATGATTGTGTGACGCGATTAAAATCTAGAAAGTTTTGCAAGTTCTATTTGCTTGGCTTGAAATCGTTGTAACTTTTATTGTAAGCAAAATCACTTGATGACACAACGCTTCGCGATGCACCTGTATTACGTCGACATGTGCAAGATTGGTGCGTGACAATTAACAATTAGCGATTTTGATAACAAGCTATAGCATAATTCGAATTAGCGTTAATCGAGTAATTGCGCGCTCCGTCGAAATGTACTTGCCCTACCTATGTATTCATCCCTTCCCTTCTGTCTAGCCGCTTTAAAGCCACATCTGTACCTACGTCAGCCACATAATTGGCTTTCGCGATCGTGCCGAAGTACTTGAAGGCGCAAGGATTACCGGGAACCTGATTGCGCGAGAGCTTTGTGCGGCAATTTGGATTTTCCATCGTTTCTCGTCCTTCACTTTCCTCTTTGCTACTCTCGTCGCTTTTACGGAACTTGCGTGTCTTGCCCTACGAGTAGGTAGAAACGCATTTGAAAGAGCAGACGGTCGGTAGACAAAACATCTTTCTTGATAGGATATATCAAATATGTAAATTTCCATCATAGTTTATGATCCATAAGACGAGCACTTAACGAAAACCATACTATTTTGTGTGCGCTTACAAACGTTCGATAACATTTAATGAATCGCAATTATGCTGATAACGTGGACATAGAAATATAGAGATGAGATAAATATCATATTTTATATCAAGTTTTACTATCGTACATTTAAAAACGCTGTAAATAGAAAAATAACTAGATAGAAAAATGCATGGAGGAAACAAAATATGTATGAATGATTAGATTTTATATATTACAGATATATAATTTTATTATATTATTATTTGCAATATTCTCTCATCGCCTCTGAAAAAGATATTTTTCAACTGACCGCAATTTTCGTAATGAATCGGTGAATTCATTGTAATAGGATTATTGTTGCAATCACCGTCCGATAAAGCGCATCGAGATAAAGTGAACGATCATTAGCGCGATCTGCACGGAGATACAGTTGGAACGAAACAATCTGGCGAATGGCCGACAAGGCATAGAAAAGATTACTCTCGCATTGTGGCTGGGCGACACCAAGGAAGAACGTCGGTTTGCCCGAAAGAGGGGATGTATGGGGGATGCATAGATAGGACGCCGCGCGGAGTGCGCGGTGTGGAATCGGAGTTGTAATTATACCTGCATGCATCGTTTCTACGTGCTTTATAAATGGCCGTGCATAATGAATGAACCGCCGGACGAACCCGCCGGATTATCCCTCCGAAAGAATGGTCCCGTTATCCTATCTAAATCATACCCGCCGGCGTCGTTTTGCACCACCGGCAATGTTCTCGAACCCAGGGGGTAATTTCCATGAACGAACGCGAGTAATGTGCGGCCGTGATATTTTTCAAGGTATCAATATTCTTTGCGGCGTTGCAATATCTCGGATTTTTTGCTAAAAATAATTGGTTTACAAAGGTAAGGTTGAAAAAGATTTCTAAGCCACAGAGAAAATAATAAAACAATATATATTTAAATTTTTTTTTTCTCTAGGTTTATAGAAATAATATTGTATTATTTTTGTACACACACACACACGCACATACATATATATGTAAAGTAAAATGTTTGCGATTGCATTATCTTCTCTGCCTTGTCATTAACACTGTAAATTAATTCGCAATTATACGATGATACGTACTACAAGGACGTACAACGCGTTGGAAAGTTCATAGGAATGATGGACACATATTATTCCGCGGCGTTTTACCTCTCGTATAACATTTTAAATCTTAATGGAGTGCGCTGTGAAGGTACGTAAAGCGTAACGGCCGAGCAATGAATTAATTACGTGGGTTAGTCGTTCGCACTCTGAGATAGAATCGTGCGAGTGAAATTCACGAGCTCGATTTAATATTTCACTCGGAGCCGTAGGATGCGAATTCCTCGCAAAAGCTCCGTACAAAGCCAAAATGTATGCCTTATGTGTCGCTCTATGTAACACACAATACTAATATATTATTTATAATAAAATTTAATTAACCACATACAGTGCCGCGCGCTGCGGTGACCATTAACGCACATGATTCCTGCATAATATGGTCTACTAAATTACGGTTGATGTGCAACGTGCTACGCGACCTCCG